GCCACATGCTTTCACATTATTGCCCAATTAAGCCAGTGTACAAGAACATTCAACGGGAAGGATGACGACATCGTTGCTTCCACAAAAACAAATCCGCTCTGTCAGTTCTACGTAGGCTGATGGTTGCCGTTAAATTATTGTGCACTTACTCATACTATAGCTATTTTCTATGACATGTCCCAACTTAAAGAAACCGTGGTGGGTAAGGGGGAGTCAGCCAGCTTCAATGATTTGTTATTGAATTCTTTACTAAGTCTACAGTAAGTAAGAAAACTGCTTTTTAATAGTGATCCCATTCTGACAGAAGCCATGATAATCATCATAACGGTTAGCGGGCCCATCAATAACAACATTATCCAGAAGATCCCTCTCTTAACCCAGACATAAAGATGTGGTGTTACAGTATGAAGTGTAAGCCTTGGCTCTTTATTTTGTCATCTGTCTTAGCAGAGACATATCAGGGTAGAATAACATCTTATTACCTTGTGTTCTGGAGAAATTCTCCTCACTCCACATTCTTCTCCTCAAGTGCCTCCATTACCAAAGGCTATCCTATGATTTAGCCACAACCCAACATAACCATTAGTTATATGAATTTATAATGCACATTGCATTACCAGTTGTATAAAACCACTGCAATTTGTCCACAGACTTGAAATTTGTGTCTCTCACAGTCCTCCCTTCTCCCTGCTCCTCGATGGGACTTGCAACATTTATCCCCTGTATAGACATGTACTGTTTATCCAGGGAAACATCTTTTATAGGCCCAGTGTATTGAGCAAACGATGACATTATGCAATTGCGCACACATTTTGGAGGAGTTTTTTTTCTTAAACCCACAACAGAGGTGAAGGAGTTCCCGTTCCCAGGAACAAACCTGCGCAGGTTAGGCTACACGATGGCAGACCTGGTAATCGTCGCATTCCTTTCATCAAATCCTGTGAATTTGTACGCGCCATACACTTCTGCTGCATGACTCTACCTTCCTCCCTTTAGGCGAGGGTGCAGGGAAACAGTCACGTCTGACTCACACGTTTCTGTAACGCAAGACAAAATGTGATGATGCAGCAGTGAATCGACAAGATCCCTGCACCCAAACAACATCTGTTTCATGTGAGACAACCCGAGAGGAAACAGTGATAAGGTAGAAGCAGGTTCCGTTCATTCAATGTGTAATAAACACAACAGACAGCTGCAGAAAAAAAAAAGAAACGAAGTCCATCAGGTGAAAGGAGGAGTGAGGCAAAACATAGCCCCATTCTTTCATAGCATATAATTACTTTGTATTAAACTACTAAGCGTGTAGTTATGAGGCATCTGCAATTTTGTGCTGACAATTTGGTATTTCCTCTAAAAACACAATTTCCTTTGAGAGCAGCAGGTAAGTGCTGGGTATAGACCTGTAATTGTATCCCTCAAGGAACATAATTACCCCATTAGCACAGAGTCAGTTACCTTTCGCACTCCTTAGCTGCCTATATAAAGTTTATGCTCTCTTTACATAAAATCTCACATAGAGCGAGCGATGTGATGGAGAGTGTCGAGAAAGCGCGTGAGGCACGATGACTGGATTGTGAGGCGGGGGCACGTCACCTCCCACAGGGGCCCTGGCTCGCCGGATCAAGTTTCAGACGTTTACCAACAAAGCATCCATGGAGGAAGTCTTGCGACCCTCACAATAACACCACAGCACCTGGCCATCCCCACACAGGAAATCTGAGGTCACTTCCCCCCTTTCAGGGAATGCAGACACACTCCTGCTGCCAGCCACGCGCCCCCACATCCTATTGAGGAGGAAACTGACTACCAGTGGGAAAGACACACATTCAAACCAAAAGGAAAATATAAATAAGCATCTACATTATGAAATATATATATATATATATAGAGAGAGAGAGAGAGAGAGAGCTGGGATCATGTGAGTTTTCATGTTTTTTCACTTATTTCATCGACAGACACACATGGGAGTGGGTTCTAGACAGGTTCTGTTAACACTGAAGCGGTAAGGGTTTCAGTTTGCCTTATTTGGTCTTGCGTATATGTGAGATGTGTTTTTTTTGGTCAGTCAAAACAACTAAAAGCTGGATTGGGTTGCATTTTTAAAATTGTGATTGGAATTACATAGATAAGAGTTTAAAAACATCCTCATAGCTGCATTGGAGAGCGCAACGTGTCCGAGCGTCAGCAAATAAACCGACACCGAGCGTACGCAAAGACAAAACAGCCAAAGAAGACTGTAAATGAGCACTTGATAAGGAAGACAATGCACGTCTTAACTGTCTTAACTAAGCAGAACCACATTCTGAAGCTTATTAAATATACCTTCTTGGGAAAACCTGTTGTGTGAATGCACCCTTGGAGATAATGTGGCATAAAGAAATCCCAGAAATACAAACTATGCCCTCTGTGACACCGCAGACTGACGGACAGCTGCATAATGTCAAAAGAGAAACTACTTCAACACAAATCTAAATTCTGCTCCCAAACCACCTGCAAACACTTGACCGCCGATTCCTCCATCATTATCATTGGCCCGGTTTCAAACGGTGCCAACACATAAAACCAGCCACAACCAGTCCGAGTCATTTAGTTGCAGTCCCGCTGCAGTTTAAAGCTGGCTGGGGTCCAGCCGCCAACCTAACCTTTGGAAAACATTGAGACCTCCGAAGAATGCGACCACGGTCAATGAAACAGGGAGAGAGAGAGAGAGAGAGAGGGGAAGAGGAAAAAAAGCAAACAAATACATTATACAGCCTGTGGGCTCTGTCAAGGCAAGCTTCCCAGCTGCTAAATGGGACAGAATGACTGGCTTTTGGCTGCTAGGGCATTATTTCTATTTGTTACTCTGACCAAGAGTTTCTATAAAAATAACCTGTCAACGGTGGGAGCACGGCGTAATATCTCAGAGAGCAGATCCCTTCAAGGTGCAAATTGTGCAGCAACAGACAGAAAAGAGAGGTGCTGAGGTGAACTTTACAGCTGTGGTTTGAGGACTTGTTGTCTTCAAGTTCAATCATGCGTTATTCAAGAGTTCAGCGACAACGACAGCGCAGTGGGTTTAATAAATGGCTAAGAAACTTAAATAATTACATTTTTAAGTTCATTCTAAAACAAATGTTTGTATTTTAACAATGGATCATGTGACAGCGTGCACATGAAAAGAGTTTGCTCATTGGGATGAGCCCACAGAGAACTAGCAGCCAACTCCACAGGTCCCCTCAACTGTGGAGCGTGTCAACATTTTTCAGCTCATTATTTTGGCCTGACCCATAACTGTACTCCACTCTGAGCCTCTTCACTCTCAGCCGCAGGGAGCTGTTTTCATCAGAAACACCCTGATATACTAACAACACACCATGTGTAAGGATTGAATATACAATAAATAAGTTACAGTAACAGATTTTTAACTGTTAAGAGCCAGTAGAGAGCAAGACTGAGCTAAAATGAAAGTAAATATTGTAGCCAGCAACATGCCTCCAATTCAATAGCTAGGTTGCTTCCTATCCACTGGATGTGTAAACACGCAACTGTAGGTGAACCATGTAAATTATATGCTGATGATAAGTAAATGTTGTGCACAGATGTGGCCTATAGTTTGCTTCTGCCGCTGCCAAGTCACCAACAACTCAGTTATTGCAGATCTAAGGAACGAAGAAAGTGAAATTTTCTGCTGAAGTCTTCACTTTAAACAGAACCTTTCAGAGTTTCTGTGTGTCAAAGGTCCATGAAGGTCTCTGAAATGTATTAAATATCCTTCCTAACTCAGTGGAGCTACACTTAGAGAATAAAAGTGTCCCACTTCAGATTCTAAGATGACAGTAAATGTATTATCAGGACTGAGTGCAAAAGGATTTCCTCTTCTTAACACTTCCCAAACACACTGTGTCCGTATCAAGTCTAGTTGTGCGTCTAAATTCCAAGTCAGACGTCGCTTAAAGTTCTTTCAACTGGAAAGACAAAAGATGCAGAAATGGCTTTTAAAAAAAGAAACAATATCTGAATCTTTTCATCCTCCTTATCAAACTATATCTCGTGTCAGGCTGCTTCACTTTCCCACTGCACCCACATGACGCAACAGGTGAAACGTCAAACACGTCGTCATGGGGATGACGCTACTACTCTGGGCTACGATGTGATGAGGTACGCCCAAAACAAACCCAGGAGCCGCAGCGCTGCACACCCATCCCAGACGCACACTACCATATCCCACTTCCTCCTGCTGAAGAAAAGACAAGTTTAGCCTGAGGGACTTCTGCTCTCTGAGGCATTCACACGTTGCTCAGCTGGGAGCTTCTGTGACACAACAGTTGTTCCTTAATCCTTCCTCCACACAGTTCAGTGGGTCACACAAGCTCATACAGTGTGTTCCTCCACTGAGGGGTTTGTTAGTGTTTTATTGCACTTTAGTTGCATCTATGAACATACAGTGTACTACAAGTGCAGGTGATCTGAGTGACAGAGAATAAAGAAAAAAAAAGGCATAAACACAGAAAGCAGAAAATCACATAGGGCGGACAGAAAATATCCAGACCCCTTCACTTGTCTCAGTGTTTGTCTTTGCAGGCTTTTCCCCAGGCAGTGTGTTTAACTGAGGTAAGAAGTATCAACACTTGTCATAATGTCAAGCCCACGCCTGCTTTCATCTCAACACACACACTTCTTTTGTTTTTACTGGGCTGATAAAACGACATAAAGGAGCAAATAAGATCCCAAGGTGTTGAATTACACATTTAACCATCACGATTATAACATGAAGCCTCATAAAATATTGGATAGTCGGCATAAAGGTGCAGTGATTTAAATTATTTGTTGCTTGTATTCAAACATTTCATTGATTATTTATGACACCATCCATGAGTTTAAACAGCAAAGATTATATTCCCACAACATAAAATCCCCCTTTTTCATAAGTGTTTTGTAAACTTCCTCTGAGGCCCTCAGAGAGGTTAAAAAGTGCAAAGAGAGGAAAAAAGAGAAAGAAAAAAAAAGTTGAGTCCTACCAGGAGTAACGTCTGAAGTCTGGAAGCACCTTTGCAGCTTTGACAACCCGCCTCCTCCTCTCTGTCAGCAGACACTCGCTCAGATCAGATCGCAGATCGCTCCTCCGACGGATCACGATCGTCGCCCGCCAGCTGTAAAACTTTTTTGTGCGCGCCTGTGAGTGAGTGTGTGTGTGTGTGTGTGTCTTTTTCTTCTGACTGTAGTCAAACCTCTGCGGCGGAGAGGGATGCAGCTTGCCGGCTACTTTTGTCCTTACTACTGAGGAAGTTGCTGGTGAGTCACAAGATCCCGCCCCCCCAAAAAAACATTCCTCCCTCCCTCCAGCGACTTCAAACGAGCCCGGAGAGAAGTCCAGGCAGCAAGCACAGGGTAGATCCCAGCAGGGCCCTTTGTCTCTCATTTTCTCTCACTTTTAATATAGTTTTATGCTTTAGTGGGATCTGTGTGGTTTGAATACGCCAAGAGTGCATCCAACAAGGTTTATGGGAAAAGTTTGATGAGTTGGCAGCACTTTGATTACTTTTTTTTTAATCAATCAACCATTTAATCAATCTCAACAGAGATAGACTTATGGAAAATGAGCCACAAATACATCTGTGTTTAAAGTATTTATATGTAATGGGGTTTAGGTGAGTCATGTATGAATGGAGAGTTGATATGCCGTTTAGTCTAAATTGCTTTAAACAGTTACTGAGCTGAAACATTCCTAATATGAAGATTAATTTGTGAACGTGAACCCGCATCGCTTGACCTTTAAGTGACCTTTACCACCAATATTACCAAACAGGGTAAAAAAAACCCAACCAAACAGTGAAATGACATTTCTCCATTTCACAGCGTGGGTACGTTCTCCAGTCCTCGTGTTTCATTTTTGTCGTGACTCAACAAGTGGGAGTTACGGTTTCCCATGTACGAAAGCTATCCTTACACCTGATAACTTGAGTCACTGCTGTTAATCAGTAAATGCCCGACGCATTAAAAAACACACAGCTGTTGACAGAAGCACCACCCTGTGAGATAGACGGCATTTGTTCCTCAGCCTCTTGTGACATTTAAGGAGTGATATCCAGCTGGCCAGTCACCGTACGCTTACTGCGGCTGGTGTTTTCAGCCTTATCTGCTGCAGTTCAAACAGGGTACGGCTGGAGATTGGCCAATAAGAAGTGTTGTAAGCTCTTACCAAGACTGTGGCCCTTCACTGGAAATTAGGAAATTAAGATTTGTTGTATGTTTTATAGATGGAGGAGGAGAAAACATCTACAAGACTAATAGGGTTAAGCTTCAAACAAACTCCACCAGGTTCCAGTTTTTAATGAAGAATGCTGTTTGAAAACCAATCATAAATCTTTCCACAGTTCAAACTTTAGTGCAATATCAAGGGTTTTAATGCCTCTTACAGTGCACTTGTTTATGCTTTGATTATAGGATGGTGACAATCGAAGGCCGAGTGAAAAACATCCCAGAGAGAAGGATGAGATGTAATAACTGTTGATAGAGTGTGGATGGCCTCTTTCAGATGTTTTTTCTTGGAGGGAATTCATAAAGTTACACTCATATGTACACATTTCTACTAAAGAAGTGGCTTTGTAGTGAGAAAAACCAGTTCCTTAACTCATGGCCTGAACTGTGCATGTGAATATCAGACTGAAACGTGTGTGAGGTGAGGAAGTTCTACTGAAACCCCAAATTAATAGAAAACAAGAAAAAAAAAACCCAGTGTGTCCACAGCTTTATAGGCACTGGGAACACTGAGAATCAATCAGCTATTCAAACATTTTGGGGACGCCATTTGTTTCCTTTCTTGCCACTCATGTCTGTACGATAAAGTAGCTGCTGATATTTTAGCGAGTTGCTTTACTGTTCAACTTCTGAGAAACAGCTGGAGGACAATCCATCAAACACATACAAGAGATAAGAGCAGTGATACAGTGACGTGTTTATCACTCAAGTACGACTTTTTTTAGGGAAGTTGCCGCTGAAAAGTATGACAAATAACAAAAAGTCATTGTGTAACGACTCCAAGGAAAATTGCGTTTCTCTTCTAAACAAACAGCCTGTTGCACTACAGGACTAAACCATTTGCTTTTATGCTTCAAACTTTACTTTCAGTATCAGTGGAAATCCTGCAAAGCATATTGGGCATGCTAAAAATTCAAAGCATTAAACACTATTATATTATTATATTTAGTATATTTGCTAATTTGATTAATGTGATTTTTGTGTGTGTTTCTGTAAATGCAAAGAAGGTTAAAAATATATATATATACTGTACATGAAGTATGTCATTGAAATTGCCCCAACATGTGCCTCCCATTTTTCATGGTTCTGTTACAAGTAACAGAGTGTGATCCGTACTGGTCTGACCCCTCAATTCTCCACAACCCCCTAATTATAAATTCTAATTTTACACTCTGAGGCGTGGTCCTGTCAGACTGTGTGCAACAAATTAGAGGATATCTGCCTGTCAATTCATCATGGTGGAAAACGGCCTGATGACTCCTTCAGCTTTTCAGTCTTTCTCGGGAAAAGGTCAAGCGTAGCTCTTCTTACCTTATGTGTGAACCACTTCTCTGAAAAATTAGCCATGAATGGGTAATAGTAGTTAACATGTTTAATGTATGTATATTTACAGTGAAGAAGACAAAGAAAACGACAAGTGTCAAAGTAGAAGCTGTACAGATATGTAAAGAGTCATAAAACTTTATTTAAGATGTCTTCAAACCAGAATAAAATACAAACATACATTATCTTTTTAAGCAGGATGTGAAGAGAGATCGTAACGTCACAACTAACTGTCCTGCTCTGCTAAATTACATTTACATTCGTGCTACACTGCCTACCGTAAACTCCCCTTGGATGTGTGGTTTGAGTGAAATCAACTCTAATGAGCATCATGACCCCGAGCATCAGACTAATGGGGCAATTAAATTGTTAAATGTCCCACTTAAGTAATATGCAGGTATGGGATGAAGCATTGGCTCGTGTCAGTTTTCACCACGTACATAATGGCAAGTGGAAATTGTGGTGTTGTGCGTTCATGTAACAAAAACATTGTTATTTCCAATGGTGTGATGCCCGAAACCTCACACAGTCATCGTGAGTACAGACACTAAAAATGCCTTTACAATGTGTTTGTAGCTTTAGATACAGGGGCACGTGGAGTATAATGTGCTGACTTTCAAAGATAAGCTCAAAACAATCCATCAAAACACCTTTAATTTATAGAAGATTTAGATGATGCCAGCAATTACAGCTTCTTGTTTCACTACTGCATCATCTAAAAACCTGTTTGCTTGTCACCACTTTGCTGCCGTGATTGTTTCGAGTGTAAAACCAGCTGAGGTACAATATACTCTGTCAAAACTCAAGCAGAGAGAATAAGCACTTAATTGTAGACAATTTTGTTTTACAAGAGTTTGTGGTTATGGGCCTATGGTAAGAATCCCACCCAGGAGTGCACCTATACTGTTGGCTGCTGGGTGCCTGAGATCAAGAAGCCAAGTGTAACAATACTCCAATGTAGTGGAAAAGCTCTGCATTCAAAATCTAATGGTGAGTGTAATATGCTACATTATTTGACTGCCAGTGTTGATGTGTCCACACATAACCCAGAACTATACCATTGTAGCAGCTTGTGGTGGAGCTAAATTTAACTGGAATCCGATGGTTCCCCGTCTAGAGGTCAGTCATAAGAGTCATGGGGTGATTAATGAGGAAGGAAGGACCAAAAAAAAAAAGTTTTCGCAACACAACTTTTCACTTAGTTTCCCTAATCTTGAGTTTTTTGTGAAATCATTTTACCCGATATAAACTAAAGCAGCTCAGGGCTTTAGAGGGCTGCTAACAAGCCGCACACATCGGAAATATATAAAAGTTGTCCCAGCAAGACCCTGCATGTGAAGTCACAGGACAAGATGGCTGGGAAACCCTGGTGGACTCTTTCAAATGTGTTTTATAAGATTACAATGTTTCTTTTAGGAAATTCTAAATCTTGAATGTAATTAATTTGTAACTGCAGCTGTCAAATAAATACAGATGAGTAAAAAGTACTATATTTCCCTCTGAACGTGTAATACAAGCACAAAGTAGCTGAAAGTAGAAACGCGTAAAGCACAAACTTCAGTATCGTTTCCACCCCTGCAAACAATGACATACAACAGCCTGACTTCTGAATTCGTCTGATGCTGTGTGTTTTCTTTTCTCAAGGAAATACAACTAAATAATCTCACCGGAGGAACTTCTGGTTCATGCATTTTTCGACTGGGCTGGCCAGGCGGCTCGCTGCAGATGAGGACCAACCATGGTCAGGGGAGACATACCAAAGTCCTGAGCTCAGCCCAAGTGCAGCAATATGTCAGCAGTGTTATTTTTACAGGGTCATATTAGAAAACCGAATGGCTCTGCATCTGCCCCACAAGGGCATTCCTCCATTGCTGACCCTGAACAAACCCACAAGCATTTGTGCTTCTGTTCTTGCATTAGCTTGTTACAAGCCCCTGATTTCCAAAGTAGTATTTACCCCCGCCGTGGCTCACCAGGCATTTCACTTGTAATGATAAATACTCACATGAATTAAACAGCACGGAGCCCAGTAAGTCAGAACGCAGACATTTAACCCGTAAATCCTGGCTGCCGTCTGTGTTTGCCTAGTTAAACATATGTTAGTGGGTGAGTGGATCAGTCAGGCCTTGGGCTGAAACTTTCACAGGAATCGGGGTCATTAGCCATCAGACTGATAAACAAGCCTGTGACATAATGTGGAAACACTGATCCCATTCATAGGTCTCATCACCCGCAAAACATTCTGCATGCCGAGCAAATCTCACACATATAAAACAAATTCCTTGCGGTCGGTGGGGGGATAGTGAGCTTCATGGGGGAAAAAATGGCTGTTTAGTGGAATATCACTCTCTGTCTTACTGGCTTCTCACATCCACAAAGAGTTGGGAGTCTGGGTGAGATTAGGGGACTGGTGCCGCTGTGGCTTTGTCTTTGTCTGTCTTCTCCCCAAAATATCATGTCAGGAAGTGGATAGTCTTTTCTTCCAGGCAGGAGTGGTGACCCCATCATCTTCTGAGTTCCTGCTGTTCTTTTTTTCTCTCAAAATGGAGAGAAAAACAGCCCAGAAGAGCTTCATGTATATATTTAAGTTCTCTGCATGTGAGCTGGGATCATAATCTGTTAGTTCTACCTTTGGGATACACACAGCAAAATGTTGATGGTTTGTTTCCTGTTTGAGAGTGTGTTAATTTAAAAAAAAAAAAAAAAAAAACACTATACAGAATCTGCATAATCTCTGTTAGGTCTGTTGATCAGGACATAAATCAAAATAGGGGTTTGGAACCCAAAAGAAAACGTGCAGTAAATGTTCATGTTGGAAAAACATAAACTTGTTAGCAATTAGTGTAAACTGTGCGCTCTGGCAAATGCTGGCTCTTATTATCATGACCAAAACAGTTTGGTGTATTACGCAGTGCAGCCAAAACATATTAAATCAGCAGTGCTGTGATCCTCACTTGTTTTACGTCCTTCTCGTGCCAAGACTGGCTTACGCACAGCTTGAGAATGGCAGGCACCAATCGCATTGGACTCCTAGTTGGATAAATGTGCTTAATCCCACTTCCCTTTGCCAGTAAACACTATCATGCAACATTTGTAGTACTAAATATTAAAGGCCAAATTAAGTATTACAGGGTCTTGAACTTACGTTATTAGCTAAATATATATATTATGAAGGAAACTGGCCGATCAAGTTGTTTTAAATGTATTGTATTTTCATTGGTGTCCTCATTTCTCATTATTATAACACCAGGTGGGAAGATGTTTATTAAGATTCTGTATGTCAGAAAGAGTAGCAATGCAACAATACTTCCTTACATGCGAACACTTCTGCATTCACATGTGCAAAGTATTATTTCACCAGAGCAGCTTCTGTAAATGTTCAACAATTACATATTCCACCATTTCATAAACAGTACTAGTGCAAAAACACACGCACACAAAATATTTTAAAGTTGCAGCTGATTTACATGGTAATCAATTTTAGTAATTTTACATGGCAACATATAAAAACAATGCTTTATGGTTTCTAAATTGGCTATACGTTTTGTATGTAAAAATAGAATAAACAAATTGGGCAAACTAATGGCCATAGCTATCAAAAAATTACATTTCCCAGTTGCGTCGTAGGGTGATGGAACAATAAAACAGCGTCAAATGGAAATACCCAAATAAATGTTAAGCACCTATAAAGTGTACTTAAGTGCTGTGCTTGTACCACCTCTGTATAACACTTCTATCATGTCAGCCAAAGGACACAGACTGTTACTGTCATACAGACACATTTTAGATTATACATATATGCAACAGCGCCCCCTAATGTTAAAATGCAGATCTGCATCGACACAAATAAATTCAATTTAACGAAAAGTTGACTTTTTTTGTTTCTCTTTTTCTTTAAATAATACTAATAAAAAATTGTAAATATTTTTATTTTAGTTTTAAAAAAATCCACAAGGCTCTTCTGTGATCTTTTCAGTGAGACTTTTGCTGCGAATCTGCGGAAGTGAAATGAAACCGAAGCCGACGTGAAGCCGGCAGGAACCCACGTGTTCAGCTCCAGGGAAGCACCAGGAGGCTGCAGACAGGCTGTACTGTGTGTATGTGTTAGAAAAGCTCCTTTAAAGTCTCGTTTTTTTGCGTAACAAAGCTTGGGAACATTTTTCAACCATGTCTTCGTTCAGGAAAGCGCTGAAATCCCGACAGAAAAACCACCATGAAAGATCTCAGGTGAGCGTTTCACTGGTTTGTTGGCTAGCATGCTAGCTAACTAGCTAGCCTAACCATGGCAGCTAAAAGATAACAACTGGTTGCAAGCAAACTTAGAAGTGTGTGGTCGTGTTTTGTGGCATGTGAAGCAAAAAATACAAATACTGAATGTGTCTTTACTGTTTTGTTCGAGCAGCCTGGCTTCAGAAAACATTTGGGATTGCTGGAGAAGAAGAAAGACTACAAACTCCGCGCAGAGTAAGTTCATGCTTTAATTTTTAATTAAAACCATTATTGTCAAACGTGGCTGAGGGATGCATGTTTAACGTTTTAATTCTGTTAATCATAGTGACTATCACAAGAAGCAGAACACCATTGCTGCTCTGCGGAAGAAAGCTCTGGAGAAGAACCCGGATGAGTTTTACCATAAAATGATCAACTCTCAGCTGCAGGTAAGATCAGCATCACTACCAGAGAAACATTACCTCACCTTATAGTTTCAGACATGTGTGGTTCTCGCCTGAGCATCTCACTGTTTTGTTTTGTGCTTGTTGACAGGATGGAGTTCATGTAATGAAAAAGCAGGATGAGGAGGTGGAGGTAACGGAGGAGCAGAAGAAGGTGATGAGGACGCAGGATATCAAATATGTGGAGATGAAAAGAGTTGCAGAGGCTAAGGTATGTTTAGTTTTACCATAATAAATCGTGATAATGCATTCAGACAAGGTGGATCGGTGGTTAGCATCATTGCCTCACAGCTAGAAGGTCACCGGTTCGCTTCCCAGTGAGGGCACTAAGATCTTTCTGTGTGGAGTTTGCATGTTCTCTTCGTGCAGCGTGGGGTTTTTTTTAGAAAATGTCACAATTTTAAGCTTAGATTAAGTCAAAAGCTTTTACATTAAAAACTCTGACAACAACATGTCTTTGCGATAACATTGCATTCAAACTCACCGACAGGTTTTGGAGTTCAGAGAATCTTTAGAGTTGTGTTGCTGCTCATTGAACAAGTAGTATATGGGAGTAAAGGCTGTGATGTGGCGTCACTGGCTTTGAACTTAGCTTAAGATTTTAAATGTCTCAGAAGCTGCAGTAGCAAGGCTTTAAAGCTGAAGATGCAGGTGCAAAAGCTTTTCAGATGCCAGTCATGATCATCTGACTTTTTCACAGGACTCAATGTTTTTTTCTGTGACAAATCAAATTGCACTGTGCTATATGTGCCCAGTAGACCACCTCTGGGGATTTAAAAAAAATATATATATATATATGCTAGAAAACATAAACAGCATTGCATGAAAATTTCTTCCTTGAAAGTATAATGTGCTGATGACAATCTCACAACCACAGTTGTAGACTTTTCTGTTTCATACGTACAAACATAAGGAGCCGATTGCCTCAGCTTGCATAGTGGGGCTGTTTGTATCATTATCCTTCTGAACTGGGTTCTGGTTCCAACATATATGGCTCAACTACTCCAATATTGCAGAGTGCTTTAACGGTGTTTGAGCAGAGTCACAGGTGAGCTGGTGTGCTTGAGTGGTAAAGGATGTATGACAGTAAAGGTGGGGACTAAATAGATCTGCACAATCTAAAGGAAGCAACGGTGTACCATTAAATTTAGGCCATTTTAATGCAGGAAGGGATTATTTTCATTGCTAGAAGTATATGTAACTTTGACACACAGAGATGACTCTTGAGGCATAAAATCAATGAACAAAGAGAGACTTTAAGTGTAGTGGCAGCAGCATGGGCATACAGAAAACCTCCACAAGTGAAGATGCTCATGTTGGTTCCTTCTGTAATCGTCTTTCAGAAAATCGAGAGGCTGAAAGGAGAGCTCCACCTTCTGGATGCAGACAGCAAGCCAAAAAACAACCACACATTTTTTGTGGATTCTAAAAAAGAAGGTAAATATAAATGTCTGGTAGATGATTCATAGTAGTGAGTACTTTGATTGGTTTGTTGTGCATAGATGCTATCCTTTTTTAGTCTTGGTTTGCCATGATATTGAGGTTACTGGAACATTTGAGATTAACTTCCTTTGTGCCTTCAGTGCGTTCATTTGACCTGGCAAGCCACCTCAACACGGCTCCAGAGCTGGTGGATAGAGTGTACAACAGACCAACTCTGCAAACCCTGGAGACGAAACGCGTCCAAGGAATAAAGCCTGGCATTATGAAGGTCTTTGATTGTAATGACTGTAAATTGCACACATTTTTTAGTTGTAATATTGTAATCTTTACTGACAAATGTGTTCTTTTATTTTGTCTTTTTTTTGCTGTACGTGCAGAAACTGGCCAAGCAAAGGAATCATCAGTATAAGATCCTTTCCCAGAGGATTGACAGAGAAAAGAAAATGTTTGTCATCAGCCAGAAAATCCAGACCCGCAAGGACCTCCAGGTAAGGAGATGGATCATAAACACAAACTGAATGTTGGCATCAAGTGTGTGTTATGGCTGTCTTTATTGCAGTGCTTTTATGTTTTCCTAATGCTCTAGGATAAAACTAAGAAAGTGAAGGTAAAAAAGGAAACACCCAATGCTGCGGCTATCTACAAATTTGAGACCAAGAGGAAACGCTGAGAAGGAAGTGGGGGAAAATATCACTTTTGGGATGTAACACAGACATTTTGGACTTCGGCCCTATGGATCTACACACCTTTGATCACAACAGAGACACTTGATCATATTTTTTTCTCTCTTCATTGCTGCAGATTTGTACATATTTATCATAGACATGCAATTTCTTTCAAATAAATCCTGACTTGGAGATAACTTGTGGTTGACAACTTTCTGGAACAGTAGTTAAAATTTTAAATTTGAATTTTAAGTTGTTGTTTTTTTTTACCAGTGGCGAGTGGGAGAAGGGGATGATTCATGAAAAGCCTCAGGCTGAATTTGAAGCAAGAATGTGGTATGTGCTCTGGTCAGTTGAGCCATTAGAAGTGTGGCAGTATGTTTTCGTGCCCCTGTACCACCACTAGGGGGCATTAGTGTACTTTATGACACCAGGAAAAACGTTGATGCCTTCCTAAGATACTGGAACGTAGATCGCAGGGAGTAGACTGAGCTGGATCGCAGCGGTTCCAAGTAAGACCCTCCGTTTGGACTTTAGAGTCAAATCACCATTAAGTCTGATTGAGTAGGAGGCCATGTGTGGCGTTAGACCCTTCATCTGCATTTTTAACCTGTCAGGAAAGAAATGCTCCATTTCAAAGCTGTCTCAGAGGCAACCAAGAAATACATTCCTCTGATTTAAAAATAAAACAACTTTAGTCGCCCTCTGTAATCCATAAGGAATTCCATGAGTTGAGTTAATGCTGTGTTTACGTTTTCCTCTGCACCTTGTAAACTCAGGAAATAATAATAAATGTCCATGTCCTATTGATCAGGTATTTTCATTAAGTCACTGCTACTTGACATGTAAACCAATGGAAATCACTGCGGGGTGTAAACAGTATTAGCAGCTATGACACCATATCACAAAAAGTGATGTTGCATGTATGTATTCTTTCCATTAACCTGGTGCATTGGTAGGTAGTCATCCATGCTTTGAAGCCAGGAATCACACCTGGACTGTGTGTGTTGTGAAGGCACAGGTTCAGCTGGGCCTTCACAACCTGTGAAGGACACGTCTTTGTTGCAGCACGCCTCTGACAAACCCTTTTCACGTGTCACAGCAGGGCAGACACAGCTGCAGCTAATAAAATTAAATATGATTTAGGTGTCAGTTTGCAAGCATTGATAACAATAACATTATTGTCAATGCTTGCTCATTAGCTCACTTTAATCAAAATTACCCATTATTAATTTTATTAGCTGCAGCTGTGCTTATGCAATGACACCTCTGTTAAAAGGCTCCCTTGAGAGACAAATTGTTACAGCTATATCAGTTTCGACAGTTTATTCCTATTTAGGGAGTTATCTCGATGAAAAGCTGCCTTCGACTGTCATCAGGCGTCCAAATTTATTTATTAACCGAATCAAGTTAAAAATATGGTGATAGTGTATTTTTACAGGAGACACTTTGACTTGTCATCGTACTAAAAAGCATTACAAACATTAATGATTGCTTTCCCATTAAGGCACGACAGCGAGCCAACAACACCACAACCGAGAAACTGAAGCAGCTAAATGGAATTCAGCTATTGTTAATTTTATTATTTACACCTGTGCTTCTCTTACTGTGACAGCTCAAAGTGTACACTGTAAAAAAAAAATAAAATAAGGGCTGTCACTTCTCATGTCTTCCTCACATTCCCACAGGGTTATGGTGTTTGGCTAATTAGACGTTTCAGGAAAATGTGTGCCGGACCTGGTTTGCCTGGATGGCAAAGTGGAGCAACAACAAGCTCTGATGCATCGTTGTGCTCTTTCTCAACTCTTCTGTTGATCCCCCTTGCTGTCCACTTCCTGTCTGGACAATTGAAGTTGGTTGAGTGAAGATTTTTTGGGTCTCTGTGACACACTGAAGCACCGTATTTCATATTATCAGCAGAATGTAGTGCTTTCTTGGTTTTCATTGTTTCATCTTTCTCCATCAACTTCTATGTGGTCATCTGTGTGCATGTGGCAAGAGCTCCTGTAGTGTATGTGTGCTCACTTCCTTCAGCTTATAGTGTGAAATAGACTGAAGGACTGGCGCCAGGCAGCAGATCACAGTGACCCGGGCTTGATTGATCATTGTGGTGGCAGCAGCTTCATAAACAGGGCCCATCCATCAGCCTCTCCTGGGAGACACCGGAGGAGAAGAGGGAGACAGTCGGATGTGTCACCAGGCATATAGCGAGAGGTGGAGGGGATGCAGGAGAGCGAGCGGAGGCCTTGGCCCAAACACTGCTGACCAGAGCAAAGGTGAGCCAACAGCTCAGGACGGGCCAAAACTGAGAAGGAGTGACACTGGGTGTCCATTTGGCTTAGCTCCTCTCATTTAAAACCCAATACAAAGCTCCCCGCTTTACAAAAACCCACAAATTATTCTATCAGTGGAGAAGCTGATTTAGATCTTTATCAGCACATTGGTATGTGTACATGTGTTGTATGCATGGATGGGTGTCACTTCAAGTCACACGAGGCCCTTGAGTGGAATTTCAGCGTTTGACCATTCATGCCAGAATAGTGTTGTACCCAGTGCATAGTGACAGTGACATCCTGAGCCAGCTCTCCCTCCCTCCCTCCTTCCCTCCTTACTTACGCCTTCCTCTCACCCTCCCTGCCCTCTGTTACTGCGTCACTCTGCTCAGAGAGCGTGCGTGGACTGGGACCCCGGAGGCCCACTGTCCATAAGCGGAGGGGGTGGAGGTCGTCGAGGAGAGCCCAGGGGTCAAAACACTGTGTGCGCAGTTCCGGGACCCCTATCTGACTATGCGACCCAAGCACAGACAAGCCACTGTTCCTCCTCAAGCTCTCCTTTCATTCACCCCCCCCAGCAATGGGACTCTTACGCCGGGGTGCTTTGGCAAGACTCTGGGGTGGGCAGTGGGTGACCTTCTGATTTTAAAGATATAGACATGCATTCCTCTATTGTCAAAAACCTCGTAATTCATTTGACTACTTGCACAGGCCATCCTGCCGCCCCCCCCTACACATAAGCCATCTCTAAAGTTAATGACCCTTGAGGTTTGTTAACGAACAGTCATTTTTGGAATTAAGGGGGGGGCTGGAAGTGGCTTACTGTGTGGTAGTCACACAGCTGCAGGCTATGACATTGACCCTGATATATAGTAACTGCCTGAGAGTGAAAGTGTAGCCTGGTTAAGAGAGTGCACGATACAACAGATCTTTGTTTAATTATCAGACACATCACGGGGGAGAAAATCTTTAAAAAGGCACTTTTTGCAATTGGTTACTTTAATCCCTTTTTTTTTTTTATTGCTGTACAATACTTTTTATATAAACTTGCATTGTTGCAGGTTCTTCAAACAAGGGAGATTCTTTTTTTGGTTTCACTCATTTGGGGATTTTTTTTTCTTTTAAAGAGCAAGTTCACTCAAGTAACAAATATATATCTTCTCATTTACAACAAGTGTTATTGAGCTATACGTGTATTTACTTCTATTTGCTCAGGTTTTGAGATATCCACCACTGAGACCTCAGCCAGCATCCCTGTACAACACTGCTGCTTTAGGTATGAAAAATGTGCATTCAAAAAATCTTTCTGAGAGACAATATGCATGTCACCAGTGAGCAGTTTCATTGTCAGAGTTTTCTACTACAGAAATGTTGTTACACAAACTGTTTAATGCATTCTGTTGATTAGTCTGAGTGACAGGGACACTGCTTGAGAAAAGTTTTCCAAAAAAATAAATGTATTTCATTATGCAGAAATAACTGATACAGATTAACTGACTTCTTAGGAACTTCCAGGTTGTATTGTTTTTACATTTTCTTATGATTAGACGATGCAGGCTACAAAATTAGTAACCACTATCACCTCCCTTAACCTGGCACTTGATCCTTACAAAGCACAAGTGCTGCACCTCCACCCACCTCATTCACTAACACAGCTTCGCCCTGCTGCAAAGCCAGCATACAGAGCTGAGGTTAAGGATGGTTAAGGACAGTACTAATCGATCCTCCAATTACGGAGACCCAGAGAGTGAGAGGTAGGGAGAAGAGAGAGGTAGCCTGGGGTTTGAGTGTTGGGAGGGTATCTCCAAATGCGAGGGGTGGGGGGATGAGAGGTAGCCTTTATCTACGGATCCCTCTCTCCTTTAACTTGAAGCCGGGTGTCATGGGGCTTTTGAAGTTGTGCAAAGAGAGGAGGGACAGAAGAGGGGGAGGAAGGAGGGGTGGGTTGGCGTGCAAGGCAGGGTCTCTCTCCATGCCAAGGGGAAGATGTCTGAAGGAAAATCTTTACAGCCTTGACAAAGCCCCTGATGTGCGTTTTTGTGTATTTGTGTGTGTGAGTATTTGGATATCTATGTGTATCTTAGCATGTTTGTGTAAGTACGCATGTGTGCCTGAGTTGAATGTCTGGCTCATGCAATGAGGTGGGGATCACTGAGCCTCCTTTTTAAATTGCTGCTAATGAGCCCTGGCTGGCGAGAGGTACTCGAATTGATTAAATTTGCATGGGAGCCTAAATCATGACAGGAGCCTCATACTTGTGCACCCCACCTCTAGGTGCACACACACACACACACACACATATACACAGCACCCCTGCTACGCCCCCCACCTCCACATCAGACCTACAGGGGGTATCTCTCTGCAGGAGAGTGGGCCAGGATAGACCAGGGGGAGGGTGTGTACACGTGTGTGTGTGTGTGTGTGTGTGGTGTTGAGCGGGGCGTGGAGCGCACCCATCTGCCCCAGTATTACTGTCAGTCCATCATTCAGGGGAATGCCAGGCGCGTGCCTTGGGGACGTGTTCATTACGCTTTAACTACCGGATCTGTCCTTGTCTCACAGCCTCCTTGTGTCATTGTCTGCCTGAGATTGCGTGTATGTATATTTATGCATGTGTCTGCTTGCATCACAATTGAACGCACCTAGTTCATGTATATGAGAGGAGGAGGGAAGCAGTGTTTTTTGAAATTAAGCGATATTCTGGCAATACACACACACACTGGACTGCGCTTGAGTTTGATACAGTAGCTGTGACTTTTTTAAAAAAATGATTAATTATATTGTTCATCTCTTGTCTTTTCCCTTCATTATGATACTCTCAGAGTCTTAATCTACCTCCATCTTTCTTACAAACACACAAACACACTGCCACGCGCTTTTGTGTTTCCCAAATATGTTGCTGCGTTGCTTCTCTAGCACTTACC